GAGAGCCACTCTCCGGCGGCGGAATTCTCCGACTCCTCCTCTTCCGAGGAGGAAAGCTGCGAGACGGCGTTTCACTCGCCGCACGGATCCTCACTCGGCCGCGAAGAGAATTTCTTCACGCCGGTTTCGCGCCACAGTTCTCTGGCCAACGGCAGCCCCGCCGCGGCTCCGGTGGTTCCTTTCTCGAAAAGAACTTCGCCGAAATCTAGGTTTTCTGCTCCCTCGCCGGATATCAGAAACTTGACCGTGCCTTCCGTTAAGCATTCTCCGGCGCCGGTCAAATATCAGCACGTGGAGAAAGAAGTGAGTTCAGGTCCTTTTAGAAGGCCGAAATTCTCATCGCCTCCTCCAGCACTGAATTTGACTCATCTTCATTCAAACGACTCCACCACATTACTTAAGCCTCCTCCTCCTCCTCCGCCTCCGCCGCCTCCGCCGCGTTGGTCTCCGTCAGTTAGTGTTTCTTCGTCCTCTAAGCACCAAAAATCTCGGTCTCTAAATGAAGGAGGGGCTTCTGCTAACGTTGTTAGTTTAAGGAAAGGTTCATCAGAGGAAATTGACCAAAGGCATGCGGGTGATGACGTGGATGGAGCGAAACCTAAGTTGAAGGCTCTGCATTGGGATAAAGTGTGTGCTACTTCGGACCGTGCCACTGTGTGGGACCAGTTAAAATCTAGTTCCTTTCAGTAAGTAAACTAACTATTATGTGATATGATATGATTTTCTGGGCTTGGGAGTTAATTAGGACCGTGAACTAATCTTTGTTGGTTTGTGGTATTTAGGTTAAATGAGGACATGATGGAGACCCTGTTTGGCTGCAATTCTTATTCCACAAGTTCTGCTTTTAAAGAGACTGTTACTAGAAAGTCGGTTCTTCCTCCTGTTGAACCGGAGAATAGGGTCTTAGACCCCAAAAAATCCCAAAACATAGCTATACTACTCAGGGCACTCAATGTCACAAGAGATGAGGTCTGCGAAGCTCTTTTAGATGGTAAGTTCATTTTTTTATCTTTTAACATTTCTGAACATGTATAGTAATCACTAATCAGACTTTAATTGCACCACAGGGGATAAAACTTAGAAGTCATATAATATGAGAGCGATTGGATGCTTTGTTGTATTTCTTATATGTTGATAAAAAAACAACGAATTGTTTTCCACATCCAACCAAAATTGATTTGAATACAAACATGTTCTTAGATCTAGCTCATAAAACATGGCATGGTCATTTCATAAACATCCTGAGAAATATTGAGCAATCACCAAACATCCACCATGATGTCATCACTCGGGTTCTTTCTCCACTTCCAATTGAGAAAGATCTGAAGTTCATTATGTATCGGTGCCATGGCCCATGGAAACTCTCTTATTGTTATTAAATTTGATATTGCTCTTGCCATCTTAATGGACCAGCCTATTATTACTGTAGCAATCATCATTAACTACCTAGCTTTGCCTTTTTAGCTGTAACGGTCAAACTTCCCCTAAAAGCAGTGCCATCCTTAGATCCCTGTTTCATGAACCATGATTGTGTCATGGTAAAGGCAGATCATTTTACCATTTTTGCTCCAGTCTTCTTACCCAGACATATTATGTCCTTTATTCCGTGAATATGGCATCTTTCTTTTTTAACTTTCTCTTGCTTCCTTGTCAGTGTTTCTTTATCCTTTCTGTTTCTGCATATTGATATCAACTTAAGATAAACCAGCAACTTATCCTTATAGCATCCTTACTGTTCACATGCCCAGATGCTCTTATTCCAAGAAATACTGATGACGAATTCTCAATGACATGGATATCTATAATCTAGTCAGTCATATTCTATTAGAGGAGGAGGAGCCACATTACTCTTGTTGCTCCACCTCAAATGACATGAGTAAGTGTAACTCAGTAGCAAAACCAGAAGACAATAATATTTGAAAGGCTCTCACCCATAATGAAGTTTGCCATCATACATTTTCATTGTTCCAGTTTATAATAATTTAAATATGTAATAAAAGTGTAAAATATATGAATTATCTGCAGTTGAATATTTACATCAACTGATATTTTTGGTTGTTTACCTGACATATCTATATATATATATATATATATATTGTTTTCAAATTCATGAATAACTAATTGTTTATCTACAATCAGTGTTTTCACCTAGCACAACTCATCTTTGGTGGTATGGTATTGTTTTTTGAATAACACAGGAAACCCTGAAGGTTTGGGAACCGAGCTATTGGAGACTCTAGTAAAGATGGCTCTAACAAAGGAGGAAGAAATAAAACTCAAAAATTATGATGGTGATCTCGCAAGACTTGGGTCTGCAGAAAGATTTCTTAAAGCAGTGCTTGATATCCCTTTAGCTTTTAAAAGAATTGAAGCCATGCTGTACAGAGCTAATTTTGAAACTGAAGTTAACTACCTTAGGAAGTCCTTTCAGAACTTGGAGGTATGCCTGAACTATATTCATCCCTTATCTTCAATGACATGCTTTTAATTGCCTTTTGTTCTGCCTCCTTATACTGTTGATATCTGACAGGCAGCAAGTGAGGAATTAAAAAACAGTCGGTTATTCTTCAAACTTCTTGAAGCTGTTCTAAGGACAGGAAACAGAATGAATGTAGGCACCAATCGTGGTGATGCTAAATCTTTCAAACTGGACACACTTCTAAAACTTGTAGATATAAAGGGCACAGATGGAAAAACAACACTGCTCCATTTTGTGGTCCAAGAGATCATTAGATCTGAAGGAACAGGTGGTGAATCTGCTAATGAGAATGTTCAAAATCAAACAACTTCCCAATTCAATGAGGATGAGTTCAAAAAGAAAGGATTGCAGGTTGTGGCCGGACTGAGTAGAGACCTTGGAAATGTCAAAAAGGCAGCGGGAATGGACTCGGATGTTTTAAGCAGTTATGTCTCAAAGCTTGAAATGGGACTTGATAAAGTGAGATTAGTTTTGCAGTGTAAAAAGCCAGATATGCATGGGAATTTCTTCAACACAACTGGGCTATTTCTGAAAGATGCTGAAGAGGAAATTGTTAAGATCAAAGCTGATGAGAGAAAGGCCTTATTCCTTGTGAAAGAAGTTACAAAATACTTTCATGGGGATGCAGCAAAGGAAGAAGCACACCCTTTAAGAATTTTTATGATTGTAAGAGACTTTCTAAATATTTTGGATCAAGTCTGCAAAGAAGTGGGAAGGATGCAGGATAGAACTGTAATTGGTTCAGCTAGGTCCTTCAGGATAGCCGCAAGTGCATCATTACCTGTACTCAGCAGGTACCATGCAAGACAAGATAGAAGTTCAGACGAGGAAAGTTTATCCCCCTAGTGTTGTGAATACGAAAGAAATAATAGTGTCTTAGGATAACAGTGAAAGTAAATGAATGTTTCCCAAATTTAAGTTAACTGCCCCCATTCCACCTGTAGGTCCATAGGTATAAACTTCAACAGGATTTCAACCAATACCGAGAGAAGTCCATCCGCAAGATATAGTGAAGGAGGGACATCTTTCCTTGAGATTGAACATCAAACACTTACAGGCATCGTGGGGGAGAGAATAAACTATTGACAGAATTTGTTCCTTGTTTACCACCTACATTCAATTTCATGAGAACCCGAAATGAATTTTTAAATGGGAAGTGCATTAGTGCAAGACACACATATCTTTTGTTAATTCAAATCGAGCCCACATCCCACAGTTAAGATAGGTTTTATTAGATTAGAGTCCCATAAAATTTCATCTTATAGAATGTTTTTATTTTAAATGTATTTTTTGAATCATTTATTAATAATAAATACTACAGTACCCCCAGTTCTATATATAAGATTATTTTCCACTTTTTTCTTTGTCATTTTTATAAGACCCTTCTTTAATTTTCAATTACATTATTTATATCTTCTATAAAATATCTTCATTTTAATTAATAGTTTTTTTAGATAAAAGATAATAAATGTTTGAAATTAATTAGATAAAATTTTTTTTCTCTTTTATTAGAATTTGACAAGATAAATAGATACATTAATATTTTTCTTTCAAATATTAATTAATTTTGGTGAGAAATGATTAAATGGAAAAAGAGAAGATTAATTTAAGAGATATTAAAGATAATTTTAAAATATTACTGTAATTTATATTATTGATAAATTTATTATTTTTAACTATTTTTTTAAAATAAAACTATAAATTTATTTTTTATTTTGGCAATTCTTGATGTGTATATGTTGGTTTTGGGGTGGAGAGAGAACTTGAAATCGGTTAATTGATTGGTATTTGGAGTAACATACTGCAGGAAGGCCCTGTTACATGTCAGCTACAACAAGAAATATGCTATAATATTTGGAAACATACTTGTACAATCATTTTCAGTCTAATCGTCATAAGAGTCAACATTATCCACTGCAAAAACGTGTAGGTTTACATTTTGTTTCTAGCCTACCTTTGTACTAGCCTTGAAAAATAAACAATGTACTAAATAAAATGGTTAAGCCGTGATTTGATAGTCACTTATACTCTTGACTAACTATATAATGACTACGAGACTCCAGATTTCTACTTTTATTTCCCTGCTCAATTTCTGGTTCTAACTCAAGAAAACCTCGAGCAATAGCAGGCCGATTAGTGAATGTACAAGAATAGGGAACCTCGAAGAACTGTAATGTAACATAACAAATCTGAAACTTGTGTTTTAAAAACATGATATCCCTTCACATGCATGCTTCAGACGGGTATCTGCTTTAAGCGAACTGCAAGTGGCATGCCGACATATCCAACCCCTAAGCAAAAGATCCACTGTACCAGACTGAGAGGTGTTGTGTTGGCGAATGTTCCCAAGTACTCAACTATTACGATTTGAAAGAAAACAGTGCAACCGAGGACAGCTATGAACACATGATTATCCCATATGCCTTTAAAAACATCTATTTCCTCCATCTCGCGAGAGTTTACCTCATTGAAAACCTGCAGAACCAAACCAACCCACATCTAGTAAGGCAAATTTAACCTGCAGGCAAAACTATAATTTTAAAAGAATTGAATGAGAATCTTTCCTCAGTTGTCTCATTCTTTTGCCAAAGCAAATTGGTTATATGAATCTTGGGATACTAAAAATTTCTGCTCTCAAGAGGGGTGTTTCAGAAGGTTTACCTGACAAAATACAAATGTGTTGAAAATAAGAGTGTTTAAGACCACTTCAGCATTCGGGCCTCTGAGGAAAAAGACCCATTTTCCTACTGCCTGAAGAAACCATATCACCATAAACTGATACAATGCTTGTCCTAAGATATTCCTCCACATGACATTGTTGATGAATTCACCCTTCCTTCCCACTGGTGCACGCTTCATTAAATCATCGGTTGGAGGTTCAGTTGCAAGTGCAAGAGCTCCCAGCGTGTCCATTATCATGTTCACCCACAAAAGTTGAACAGCTGTGAGGGGTGCACTGCCTGAAGAGAAAATACACGAAAAGTCATAAGATAATAAAGTTTTCTACTTTCTATATACACATTTTCTCACTGCACTTTGAATGGAATGAAAAATGAATGAATGGAGCAAGCAGGTAAGTTCACAATCGATGTAGACAAATTAGGCATAATTTTTAACCTGTCATGCATGCTGATGAGAAGTTCACTAGTAATGCAACCACATTTACAGTAAGCTGGAACTGTACGAATTTTTGAATATTTATGTAAACTGAACGTCCCCATTTGGCCACTGTCACTATGGTGGAGAAATTATCATCCAGAATTATGACATCAGCACTTTCTTTAGCAACCTGCTCACAAATTGAGATTCGTCATTCTCCTTGCTTTAGAAGATTAAGGTTATTCGATCAAAATGAAGCGCGTTACGGTTACCATTTCCCTTTCTCTTCTTTTGGTTTCAAACATTTGACAAGAAATGGATCATATATCATTTTTCACATGATATATGAAGACAGAAAGAAACAAATATCTTAAATAGGATTTTCTCTTCACATGTTAATATCTCAAATGAGATAGATCCATTCCCTGTTGTAACCAGCTTATCATCGCAATTCACTCACCTCAGTTCCAGCAATTCCCATTGCAAGTCCAATGTCAGCTTCATGAAGGGCCGGGGCATCATTTGTTCCATCACCAGTTACAGCTACAACTTCCCCGAACGTAGTACGAAGATGTCTCACTAATGTATGTTTGTCTAGAGGTGAGGATCGAGCCATAACCTTGAAAATTAAACACATCACATTATTTAAAGCACCAACAATTTTCCTCGTCAAGAATTGATTCAATCAAAGATGTTATTCATATAGCAAGTATATGAAGCACCTGAATTTTGGGAATCAGCTCAAACAACTCCTCCTGAGTCTTCTCTCTGAAGTCTGGACCCTCAATGGCTATGCCATCATCTGTTAAAATCCCACATTCCCTGGCTATGGCCTTTGCAGTATTAATATTGTCTCCTGTAACCATTCTCACCATTATTCCAGCTGAACGACACACTTCAACTGATTCCTTAACACCAGGACGAACAGGATCTTTGATGCCAACAATCCCTATGCATGTGTAGCCAGAAACAGGAATGGGGTCTTCAGCAGAAAACCCGTTTTCTATTTCCATGTATGCAAGGCAAAGAGTTCTAAGAGCCTCACCAGCAAACTGGTTGATTGTACTCGTGAGATAGTTACTTGATCCTTCATCAATGGAGACAACATCACCGTTTGAGTTTATCACCTTGTCACAAGCAGCCAGAATGATTTCAGAAGCACCTTTGCAATGAGCTCTTAATCCTCCTTCTGGGAGCTCTAACACTACACCCATCCTTTTCTTCTCAGAGTTGAATGGCTCAACTTTAACAACTTTACATGCTTGTTTCTCTGCCTGAAAATCCCCACCCAGTGATAAGCCAAACTCCAATAGTGCTGACTCAGTTGGCGTCCCCAAGATCTCACGTTTACCTTTTTTGTTAATCACAACCTCTCCTCCAGTGTTGTTAAATATTGACTGAAGCAACAGTTTCAAAGCAGAATCAGGGAGTTCAGAGGTCAAACTAGAATCATTACTAGTCACATCCTTGCTATTCATACAAATGCATGTTTTCACCAGAGTCATGCGGTTGGTTGTTAGTGTCCCAGTCTTGTCACTACATATAGTTGTGGCTGATCCCATAGTTTCACAAGCTGCCAAGTGCCTCACCAGGGCCTTGTCATTCATCATCTTCTTCATTGCAAACGCAAGGCTCAATGTCACAGCTAAGGGTAGCCCCTCTGGAACAGCAACAACAACAATGGTAACTGCAATGGCAAAGAATTCCAACATCTCCATTGCATCATCCGCTGACCACCACCAGAATCTTCCTTCTTGGAGTTTGCGACTCAGTAGTCCTTTCACCAAAACTGCGAAGGTAACCACGGCAAAGACCAGTCCTATCTTCCCAATAATGGTTGCTACTCCATTCAGTTTCACTTGCAATGGGGTTTCATCATCTCCACCTTCACTCAGAGTTGCCATCAACTTACCCCATTGAGTCCTCATCCCAACAGTGGTAACCAACATGGTGCAAGATCCATCTTGGACCTTGGTTCCAGAGAGTAGAAAAGGATTTTGGGAAGTCACCATCACTGGCTCACTCTCACCAGTTAAACTTGACTCATCAATCAACACAGAAAATCCGGAAATAAATAAGCCATCTGAAGGGACTTGGTCTCCAATAGCAAGATGCACAAGGTCACCAGGAAGTAAACTATATATTGACATTTTCTGCCTGTAACCGTTTCTTGTAACCTGAATGGAAATCTTTTTCTTCTCCTTGTCTAAGTCCTTGAATTGCAACGATTGGCGATAATCACTTGTTGCTGTCACAAAGACAACTAGTAAGATACTTGCAACAATTCCAAGACCATCATGAGCACCTTTGGGCCACCCTTCCGTTGCTATGCCAACTATCAGAGACACAAAAGCACACACTACAAGGATCATGAGAGTCATGTCTTGAATGGCTTCATAAACAAAAACCCAGAAACTCCGAACTTCACTTTCAGTGAATTTATTGACTCCAAAAAGCTCTTGTCTCCTGTGCCGTGATTCAGTATCACCGCTAAGCCCCTTGGTGGTTGATGTTGAAAGCTTTTCTGCAATGCCATTTACTCCACCATGAAACTTGAGCTTCTTTACATCGTGGCCTTCAACAATGGACCCCAATTCTTCAGCACAGATTTGGAAACCCGCAGCTTTAACTTCATCAGGTACAACGTAATCGCTTGGTTGAACACCTGCAGATTTCATCACAATTCACATGAAAACAAATTTATTCTTAAATGAAGACTTCTAGATTTTCAAATAATTCTGAAGAAACTAACCTTGGATAAACTGAAATGCAGCTTTGGAAACCAAAACAGCGACCCTTAGCTTCTCCTGCATTAACGAGAGAATAAGACATTGAGAATCCGTACATGGAGAGGTCCTACCTCACATTTTACGTGGTATTACTTTAAGGAGGGAATAGAGGAATCATATGATTCATATTGTTTACCAGTATTCTCAAACTCAAAAGAAAAATAGTCTATCTCTATTCTATATTATAGTGTTTAGCTTATGAACCAAGGTGAAAGACT